AGACAGACAGACAGACAGACAGACAGACAGACAGACAGACAGACAGACAGACAGACAGACAGACAGACAGACAGACAAAATATTCCAGGTTAATATTAGAATGTCAATTCTTAATACCCTTTAAAAGAAAATAAAACCGACTGTTGTTATTTCTTTTAATCTTGTGATACATAAAGTGAAGACATGTTTTCGTAAATAGGCAATAAAAAAGCTGTTTTAAGTTAGTGCTGTTTCTAGTTTAAAAGTTTAAAAATGTTAAACTTTTTCTTTGAGAACTAATCTGTGGGATTTCAAGTTGGAAAAAAAACACATTGTGAAATAAGGTGGAATATTTCCATATTATGATGCAGGAATTATTCAAAAATCGTGAATAAGAGTAGAGTAATCGAATATTTAGATTGTGTTGCTGACAAAGCCCAGGTATCAGCCTGGGCATCCATTTTCTTTACAGGTTTTAACTAAAGCATTATAAAAAGAACTCTGATTTGGAGATGATGTTATTCATTTTAGCAGCGATACTCCAGCTGGAGTAATCCAAATAAATATTCAGGTTTGTTTACTTTTGTAGTAGCAGTTTTATTGTCTTATATCAGAATCAGAAATCAGAATCAGAATATATCCTTAAACATGGCCCTACACTTACTTAGCAACCAAACTTAAAGGTCAGTTTTGAGTCTTAGTAACACCATGGTCTCCAAGGCTGCATGAGGGGGTTTGGCAAAAACAGAGAACGTCTGTGTAAACACCTCTTGAGGGAATTCCAGTAAGATGTTGACACAATATTCCTGTGCATGTGCAGTTACGTAATGTGATGTCGGAACTATAAAAGGCCGCCCAGAATGTATTAAAGGTGGGGGAATTAACTGAGACGAGACAATGCATTGCTGAATGTATGAAGTTTTAATACAGCTGTATGAATTCTGTTTTGTAAATAAATGTTCCCCCCTCCGGGTGACAGAATGATGTCAATCGTCAGCCTTCTTTCTGTCATAAGAGAATTCTACCAATGAGCTTCCACACTTTAAGAGCACAATGTTAAAAACCAAAACATATCTGTTTAATTGTTTGCTGTGTTCTATAAGAAGAAAATGTATGAATTGTTTTGGGAATATTAAGCAACTAAAACTGACCTGGTAAAAGTAAGATGAAGTTTCTGTGTTTGCACAGGAGGATATTATTTAAATTACAGATATACTGAAACCGATAATCCGTTGTACCTGCAGAGTAGAAGCTGCTGAACCACTAGTCTCTGACAGTCCTGTCCCTCTCGGTAGGCTGGACACGATGTACCTGGAACCCTTTGGCACAGGCTGTCTAACCACCAGCTTTCCTTTCCTGGTCTCTGCCAGAAACAGACTGTACCAGTAGGCATCATTGGATACCAGAGTGGAGTCTGCAATGGTGGAGTTCCTCTCACTGATCACACTGTTCCTGCTGGGAGGAGCAGCTTTTCTGGGCATTGGTTTCTGTCACTTCAGCACCATGGTGACCAGTATGGTGATGAGGAGAAGAAATGAAACAGAGCC